TAAGAAGTAAAGCATCACCTCAAAATTCACCAAAAAATATAGTTCTGGAGCGGAAAACCTTCACAACTATCATCTCAATCATGACCATTATCATTATTAAAAAAGCTAGGACTCAAGCCCTACTGTATATTGTAAAACATTATCTAAATTACTCATTTCACCATAAAAAATAAGAGTTCACGGATTCGTTACTTTTCTACATTTTATGAGCTTTGAATTTTAGATTTGGTGTTGGAAGTTAATTTTAAAGCTATCATAGAGATTTCCAATGCCTAAGTGCATTTTAGATAAGGATTCCCAATGAGGCTGTACTTTGTTTTCATAAAGCCTAGGCCTTACATAAAGGTGCTGTTTATATATAGCCGAGGCTCTAAACAATCAAAGTAAAACGCACTTTCAAATAGTGTCGAGAAATGTAGTTTCAATATTGGAATTATGTATGATAGCCTTAAAATATATTTTCATCTTTGATTATAAAATTTAAAGCTTCAAAAATAGTGTAGAATAAGTAGCTCTATGAAAGCTTGAAAATCTTCAAAATTGACGATCCAAAATGCCTTACAAGATACACTATTTTCAAAACTTAAAATATATATATTTTTTCATGTCCATGTATCTTGATGTGATGAATTTGAGGATATAGATCCTATGGGATGGGGGCAATAATCCACGACCAGATTGCATAATTGCTGACCTATTAATTTGGATAACCACGACATCTGCAATTAAAATAACAAGAATAGCAACCGCCTCTTCCAGCTAAACTATAGCTTGAGTGGATTGACTTAGCCACCAAGGTCGCTAATTTTATATACACTCCTGGGGCAGCTTTATTTCACAAGAAAGTTTGGAAATAATGGGGATTTTTAGGTGAATGAAGATGGTAAAATCAGTTTGTCGGACTAACTTTTGGAAAGTAAATTCAACATAATTTTGTCAGGTTGTTTTCCTATAGGTTTTCGATCTCGATAGTTGGTTTGGATATAGGAACTGGACAAGACCACATCGGTTTTAGGATGGTATGGGCTTGGGCTGGTTCTCGCCTAAAACCCCCTAAATATCTTTTTCTCTTTTAAGCTTACCTAAAGTTTTTTTAGGTCCCCTATAAATCCTTACCCTAAAAACACCTATTTTAAGTTTTACTTTATCTTATTTGTTTTCAATATTTTTCTGAATCACTAATTTAGACAGACCCAAACCTTATCCGAATTGTTGATCCAGCATTAGAACACGGATATTTCGGGTGAACCTTCCGGCCAAGCAATCAAACACGAATTTTGTAGACATTCTACTACCCAATGCTTTTAGTGTCACACTCAAAACCTAGTCATTAATTTTTCTTGTTTTTATCCCCATCAAAAAGTATTTAAAAACTAAACCATCCTTCCCCTCTCTCACTCTACCCGCCCTCTCTCTTTCTCTCTACCTGCCCTCTCCTCTTTCTTCTCTATCTGGACTTAGCGTCAGAAGTCCCATAAGACGGCCCAGCAACACACTTTTGTGCTGGACTGAGAAAACATTTGGATCCAATAAAAAATTGTGTAGGACCAGTCACAAGCTCTTGGAAATCCAGAAGGCCTAGACGATGGTGTGTCGGACCGCCTTATGGGGTTTCTTGATTCTAGAAGCTTATGACTGGACTGGTATAAAACTATGCCATACCACCTTATGGGGCTATTGGATTTCCAGAAGCCTGTGAGCAATCCGGTACATTTTTGTGCTTGACCCGATATTTTTTTTGCGATTTGGCATAGAAGTGTGCCAAACCATCTTACGGGACTTTTACGGGACTTCTGAAGCTAAGTTGAGAGAGAGAGAGATAAAGAGAGAGAGGTGGCTAGAGCGAGAGGGAAGGTGGACAGAGAGAGAAAGAGGGTGGGTAGAGAGAAAGAGAGACAAGGAGGGAGGATAGAGAGAGAGGGCAAATATAGAGAGAGAAAGAGCAAGGGCTATGGGGGGTATTATTCGTGATTGTTTCGGGAACTCTATTCTCTCTTATGCATAACCTATCGGTAGGGCAACATCGAATCTTGCTTAGATGAGTGGCTTACTCAAAGGTTTACTTATTTTTAAGTACCGTAACTTGAGCATTAATTTCATTGTTAAAGGAGATTCTTTGATCGTAATAAAATGGTATAGGAAAGAGCTGTCAATTCCTTGGGAACTCTGATCTACAAGTCTTGGATATTTCAGCTTCCTTACACATTTCTTTCTCCCAAGTTTTTCTGGAGGCTAATAGGATTGTTGATGCTTTGGCTAAAGGAGGTGTTGGCCTAGACTCTCTTTATTGTCTCTTCTAATGTAATCTTATCTATGAACAATTATTTTTAAGGTGAAATGGATGGTCTAGATAATTCGTTACAATATACACAATTTTTAGAACTTAAAATCCTAGTGTTTTTTCACAACCAATATGTTCAAGCTGACATGATCAATATAAAGGTTTTCCAATGTTTGAATTGTAATTTTCGATAAATTATAAAGTGAGGCTTTTTGATAGGATTGTAGCCCTATCAAACCATTTTCTTTCATTTATAGAGTAAGAAAGAGAATAATAGTGCATAAAAATATGTATTTCAAAATGGGTGCAGTTGGCATACGGATACATCCGTAGGTGTAGAGGTAAAGTGCACCTTCAAATTTTATCATGATATATTTTGATATAATTATCTCAAAATCTATTTTTATATCTAATTATAAAATTTTAAATTTAAAAAATGGTTAAAATCAAGTAGATCTATAAACATATGAAAATCTTGAAAATGGACGGTGTAGATAACATGTTGTAAAATGCATTATTTCTGAGATTTAAAATCTTTTTATTTTTCATAGTCATACATCTCGATGTCGAGATGTTCAATCAAAGGTTTTTGAACATTAAAACTACCTTTTCCGATAGATTTTTTAGCCCATCATAGTTCTACACTATAAAGTTGCATCCTTATATAAACTTTTTCCTTTAAAAAATAAATCGTTTTGAACCAACTTAACTTTAACTAGTGTAACGGGAATTCGGTCAAGTTACTCGTCCTCCCCATACCTCACATACTATACACCATGATGGTAGAGATTATACATGTTACCCGTGCTGTACACCATGCTTGTGGCGGTTCTATACATTAAGGAAAATGTGTATATAAGGTTGCAACCTTATATTATTGAAGTAAGGTGTACCTCAAGAATCCTTAGGGGGGAAGTGTTTCGACATTCGAGAACCCTCTAAGTGATCATCTTGATATCGAGAAGAAAGAACATGAAGAAAAAAAAGATTTCAAGTTCAAAAATAGTGCATCTTGGAACAAGTTATCTGGATCGTCTATTTTTAAGATTTTTAAGTATTTCTTAATTGCTGTATAATTTTTAAAATTTTAAATTTCATATACCTGACGATGTAAAGAGACTTTCGAGCCAATATATGTTTTTTGACATGAAAATGATATTTTTTAATAAAAATTTGAAAAAATTTCAAGATATACCTTAATTTGGTGTGAGATTTTCTCATGAACCTTAAAATTTGAAACATTTCTAATGAAATTAAATGTGTAAGTTTTCTATCGGCTAACCCCCTAAACAGTAGTTACCCACATCAAAGTCATTTTGAGGACCTTGTTTGCCCAAGAGTTTTTACCACTACCAAAGTCATTTTGAGGAACTTGTTTGCCCAACAGTTTTTGCCCACACCAAAGTCATTTTGAGGAACTTGTTTGCCCTTGACAATCATGTAAAGATGCCTACATCCATCTCTCTACCCCAAACCAGCCTCACACACGCACTCTCTCTCTCTCTCTCTCAATCTGAGCTCTGCCCCATATCTTCTCTCTCTACCCCAAACCCTCTCTCTCTTCCCCTTCCAATTTATGCTTTGTACCGTACCCCTTTCTCTCCACTCGAGCCCAACTCTCTCTCTCCCCCCATCTGAGAAAAGAGCATGGACGCAGCTAGAGGCTTGAATGCGATTTTGTGCCAAACACTAAATAACGGTGGAGAGAAAGTGCTAAGGTTGTCACTGTTAAAAGGCACCACATTTGTGTATCTAGAGAGAGAGAGAGAGTTCAAAAGAGCAATGTCCATCCATGTAACTTCGACAAGAAATACCAAGAGAAAAAGATAATGGGTAGAGAGAGGAAGAGAGGGGGGTATGGTGCAAAGCTTAAATTAGGGGAGAGAGAAAAGAGAGGGGTATGGTGAAAAGCTCAAATTGGGGACGAGAGAGAGAGAGAGAAGGGTATGGTGTAGAGCTGTAAGGGCGACAGAGAGAGTCCTGGGCATGACAGAGAGATGGACGTAGGCGTTCACTTTTTTAAGAAAATTGTTTCATAGAGGCTGGACCGTATGACTACATATGCCATCCAAAGAGTGTAAAGCATCAATCTTAAAGATAGATGCGAGTAGGTGTTCCATCTATAAATAATGGAAATTGACCATCCAAATGTTTTCATAATAAAACTATTATTTTTATTTTTTAAAATCTACTTATTTCTTTATATTCATGATCTCCTTAAAAATTAAATCCAAAAATCTATCTAAAAAATAGATAGGCCTGTATGCAGTTCCCGCATAGAAACCGGGTCCAAAATCTTTTAAGTGTGCACTGTTTCTACACCATAAGCAGGCAACCTTATACAAACCTCACCCATATATTAATTTATTAATTTTAAGACAAAGATGTCGTAATGTAAACCTCCGCCGTTAATTAATTTGTCAAAAAGATGTCAAAAATGGCACCTTATACAAACCTCCCCCATATACTACTTTGTGGACGTGAAAATGGTAATGTAGGTCAGCATACATTGCGCATCTTCCATCTGGTAATGTAGGTCAGCATACATTGCGCATCTTCCATCACGATGGCAGTTCATTTCCTCTAACGCGGAAAGACGTGGCGCCCCGACTCTGTAATTACTCCTCCATGAACTGTCATCCATATCTAAATCGATTGATATCCACATTTATAGGAATCTCATTAAACTATTCTGTTGACTTTTCAGTGTTCACAAGATTACAACACCAATCCACTGTGCTAAACAATAAACAAACAGCTACTTGACGTTTAATTTTCCATATATGATATGATTTCACACCTTTTCCTCATTGAAAAGATGTTTAATTTTCCATTACAGATATGATTTCACTCATTTTCTTCATTGAAAAATATGGAATTGATTCAGTGTATTCAAAATTGTGGAGATGGCTTTATATTTGGATGCGAAGGTGAAGGTGAACTTCAAGGAAATAGGGAGAGAGAGAGATTGGATTCCTGTAATGAAATAGAGAGAGATTGGATTGCTGAAAAGAAATAGAGTCTCAGAGAAACAGAGAAGAACAGAGATATTCGAAAAGAGATTATAAAGAGGGAGATGGGAAGCTCGGCAGACGATGCATCCCACCAGTTATCAATGGCGTTCCCGAGGGTCCTTATCGTCTCCAGAAGAACGGTTCGGAAGAACAAATTTGTAGACTTCGTAGGTTAGTTTATACTCTCTCATTAGAATTTCTTCTCTCTCTCGATTGAAATTGATTCATTTGGGATGGATATGCAGGGGAGTATCATCTAGACTTAATTGTTAACTATGGTGCCGTGCCGGTGATCGTGCCTAGGGTTTCCGGTGTACAAAGCCTTCTTGAGAGCTTTGAGCCCATCCATGGTGTCCTCCTCTGTGAAGGGGAGGACATCGACCCCTCCCACTATGAGATGATCGATGGTCCGGACACTCCGGCCCTCTCTGTGGATGAGCTCCAACATGTACAGTTTCTGCACTCGTCGGACACGGCCATCGACCACGAGAAGGACTCGATAGAGCTACGGCTTGCAAGGCTCTGCGTCGAGCGCAACGTTCCCTACCTTGGTATCTGCCGCGGTTCACAGGTCCCCATATTTTCTTCATGCATGTGTTTTCATGAAACAAAATGGAATTACATCAAAACAATGATTTTTGCCATAATCTTTTGTAGATACAAGATTTTCATGAATGAACAAGAAAATGTTATGGGATTTTGTTACTGAAGCTTGGTGCTTCAACTGTGACTCTTTCTGCTATGGAAATTGAAGAGTGTGATCCTCGTTTTTGTTTATTAATACTACTGTTATTTTTTTCACCATTTTAAATTTTATAAACCCCATGAATGAAGAAAGGGGCTCCAAAATGCCCCTTCACAAAGACTAAAGGTTTCTTTTTTCCCAAATGTTTTCTTTTTTGAAATTCTACAAAATCAAATCACCCACCAAACCAGACTAAAGGGGCCTTCGAAAATGCCTCTGATAACACACCTTCAATGACTTTTCTGGAGCCTGAAAATCAAAATACGGGTCATTGATCGCACCACATCATGACCCCTGCTATTGAGAGTTTCAAAATACAAAGGCATCGAAGAGCATCCTTCATGAGCCTGAAAATTTGAGTGGAATGGTAAACAGGTACTGAACGTGGCGTGCGGGGGTACCCTGTATCAAGATGTAGAGAAAGAGCTCGCGAAGAAGGGGGCTCCCGATGTGAGGCACATGGACTACGACCACTATGACGACCACCGCCACGATGTTAAGGTGGTGCCCAACACACCGCTGCATGAATGGTTCAAAGAATCATTGGGGGAGGGGATGGAAATGAGGGTGAACAGCTATCACCACCAGGGCGTGAGAAGGCTTGCAGATAGATTTGTGCCCATGGCCTATGCACCAGATGGGCTTGTCGAGGCCTTCTATGACCCAGTCGCACACAAGGAGGGCCACTTCATAATGGGCCTGCAATTCCACCCTGAGAGGATGCGGTCAGAATTTGGAAATGGTGAATTCGATTACCCCGGATGTGCCAAGGCCTATCAGGTAAGCAATTGCCTAAATCCCTCACTCGTCTCTCTTCGAATTAGGTAACAGCCAATTTTACCTTCTCTTTCTCTCAAGACTTTCTCTCCTATCTCTTTGTTAGAGGCTTGTATCTGTGTGATCAGGACATGGGAACTTTTCCCCCACCCCACCCCACCCCACCCCACCCCTATATAGGTAGAGCGCTCTCTATATTCGAACGTGTATTGTTTTGCTACATCTTTACTGTTACTCTTTTCTCTTCTTCTTCATATATCACTTATATTTGAATTGAATCGATGGTGTTCGGGATGTGTTCATATATTGATTATATTTGAATTGAATCAATGGTGTTTGGGATGTGTTTTCTCTGGTTTTTCTCTTGCCTTTCCATTATATCGATCGTAATTGAATTGAATGGATGGTCTGTTTAATGGTTTTTCTTTCTCTCTTCATATATGGTGTACTGATGAACTGGATGGATGTGAAGGAATTTGTCAAGGCAGTGATTGCATATGAGAAGAATGCTAGTAATGGTACGGTACCGAGGCCCCTGCGACTGGACGGGGAGATGGAGAAGAAGAGGAAGAAGATTGTTCGTAGCTTCTCTCTCGCTAGGAATCTCTATGCTGCAAGGAATGGGGTGCGATCCGATTTAGAAGCAGGAGCCCAATTCCTTGAGGTAACCTATCCATATCTCCCTGTTTTTTTCTTATTTATTGACACACATTTAGAAACCTAGACACTTCTAAAAATTTGTTGCTGAAATATAACTATAAAAGTATTCGATTTCACTTAAACCAGACATGTATATCCATATCTCAAAACAATTATAAACAATTTTAAAAAATAAGAAATTTATTTGTAATGTGTTGTTTTATGTTTTCTATTATTTTAGCAAAGATTGGAATGGTTTTTTTAGCTATGAATATTTATTTTACATTTTCCCTTCTGTTTTGATAATTTCTAAAATATCACAAATTGCATTTTTCACTATTTTTTTAACCTTATTTAGATGTGTTTTATTTATTTTATTTCAATCATATTTTTCTATTTTCTGAGATTGGTTTTTGTATTTTATTTTTAAGCATTTTTTAACTTTGCCGGATTCTACCCGAGTTAGTTTTCTTGGGCATGGACCGAGTCCCATCCCTGAGTCATGGTTTTGCGCACAGTTTATTCCTTGGTGGTTGTTTTTTGCTTCATGGGTTGTTCTTGACTTCATGTGCGCGGTGTATTGATGTTTAATTTTCTCATTTGGTTCTTGTGGGAACAGTCTAGTGTAATGCTGAGCTTGCAGCAAGAGAAGCGCCTGAAACAGATGGGTGCGACGGTGAGGAATTCGTCATGTTTCGTGGAGAGGATGAAGAAGATGAAGGAGATCGAGAACGCAGCGCGGGAATTGCTGGGGAAAATGTCTATAGATCAACTCTCAGAATTGCTCACCTTCTACCACATGATGGCCAATATTTCCTCTGAGCTTTTCGAGAAGAAGCATATAACCATGTGAAGCATGTATCATCTCCTTTTTCTTTCTTTAGATATTTGTTTTTGTATCTCCAGTAAACTGGTGTATGTTCATTTGGTTCAATTCCAACAGCTGAAAGGGGAGGTCAACACCTGCTATTCATGATTGGGTTCTTGTTTTTTTATTTATTATTTGTTAAAGATATTAAAGATGGCTTCGGGTTATTTTGGTTTTTGTTTTCCTTTAGGGTAATTATGTTGTTGTTTTCTGCTGCCCAGAATTGAATGATAGAGTTGGATGTTTAATTATAAACATATGAAAGTCTAGGAATTAATTGGCATTAAGGTTTCTTTTTTTTGTGCACAGTAAGGCAAAGTCTTAAAAATGCCTATAGGCAAATTGATAAAGTGTTTCACTCTTTCACGGATATACCTAAAAACTGTCAAGATCTACATGAGCCGTGGCGGTCCCCGTACAATTTTTGCGTGAAATAAATCTTGTCACGGACTTGTTATGTCCCTGATAGACCGCAATCAACATGTTATGTCTATGATGGTCTTTAATCCACGCCATCTGAAAAAATTGGACTGCACCTAGCTTTTGGGGGCGAAAATACTGTTCATTTTTTCTTATAGATGTTTTGTAGTCTCTTCCTATTGTAAAAAAAAAAAAAATCTATAGAAAATGAGAATTTATTTCAGGATCTTTATCGTTTTTTTTGGAGTACTTCCTCATAAACCTAGAGAGAAGATATATTTGCTCACCATTTATTTTAATTACAATTTATTTTCTTCCATATCCCTATATCAAAGAAATAGAAGCCCTTTGTTTTATATCACAGGGTAAGCACCTTACTGGTCATATTTTGTCTTTCATATTTCAATCATTTTAGTTTTACATTTATTGACATATCAATCATAAGCATGCCTCCGAACCATTATTCGTAAAATCATCTGATTTAATTTCTAACCACCACGTTAGATCTGAATCGGGCAATGGCCGGTTTCGATTTTTAGTGGTTAGGGTGATTAATCAGTATTTTTTTAAAAAAATTCAAACAAATGTATATAAATTTTCAAAAATAAGGAATTTGATTTTAATGTATTTTTAAATATTTGGTAAAGATTAAAAGTTGTTTTGATCATTAATACTCAATTTTATATTTTCCCATCTTTTTTAGAAAATTTTAAAAATAGCCATTGTATAATATAAAATGAGTTAAAATCAATTTGTTTTCATTATTTTTCAACTTCATTTGAATGTGTTATGTTTTAATCATTTTTTATATGTTTTTCATATTTTAGTAGATTTTTTTGGTATTTTTTTCCAACAATTTTTTGATCGACAGGGACTTGCCTGGTTAGAGCGGTTGAATTGGCCAGTTTACCGGTTAAGCCGGTTAAACCGCTTCCAAGCTATGTCTGGTTAATCGTTTCGGTTCGATTTTGTGAACTCTGCTCCCAACACTCCCAACAAAATGTGAAGGACATTAATTCAATGGCCTAGTCATTTCGAGCCTGAAGCTAGTTTTGTGAACTGATCCATGTATTAAAATCCATATTCTTCTTGTGAGTTTTTTCTCGTGTGTATTATATTTGGGGTCACGTGTTACGCTTATTGGAACAGATTGAGCATCACATTCCTAGAATGAACTTTCAAACCCATAACTCATAGTTTCATACAAGGTTCATGCTTAGGTTATCAAAGTCAATCCACTATGTGACTCGAGATTCTCAGATTGTAGCAGATTACATGTGCACCATTGAGGACATGCACTCTGGTAGATACAGGTGTCTGGGCTCACGCTTAGGTTATCAAAGTCAATCCACTATTTGGCTCAAGACTCCCGTAGTGGATTATAGGTGCACTCTTGAGGACATACACTCTGGGGAATACATGTGTCTTCTCTTGGCACATGTGCATATCTTGTCCAAGTTGATCGGATTTGGAAGAGTGGCTTCCATTGTACTGGATTACAAGTTTGTGGCTTCCATTGTACTGGATTACAAGTTTACCCCTGAGGATATGCACTCTGGTGGATACAAAGGTCCTCTGTCGGCAAATGTGCAATCTTGTCCTAGTTGATCAGCAGTGGAAGGGTGGCTTCCCATTCGTGACTGTAAATGTATGTGCCATGAGTTGCTCATCCACTCTTAATCTTCAAGATTGACGACCTTGCATAGATGATTGCACTTTGGGGAAGAAAAGGATGCCTAGGAATTTCACATCTAGGGTTTTTTTTATGAGTGAAGATGATTGATTTTAGGGCATATTTTGGGAATATTTTTAAAATGGGGAATTTGGGATCTAGGGCATATTTTGGGTATATTCTAGGGTTCGACTATGGTTTGAGTGTGGATTATGACTAAGCGTGCCTTATGATTGGGACAGTGAGCTCTAGAAATTAAAATTTTCAAAATAAAATTTAACTCGAAGGGAGGGGGGAGGGGGGTTGTCTAAGATATGGACACCAATGATGTGGATGCAATGTGGTTACCAATGCTATGGACCATTGTTAGAAAAACCGGGCGATCTAACAGCTAACTGCCCGGTTAGATCGGAACCGGCTAGTGGCCGATTCCGGCTTTGGGCAGTTTGGTGATCGACAAGTATTTAAAAAAAACTTAAAAAAAAATAAATATAAAATCTCAAAAATAAGTAATTTGGTTTGTAATGTATTTTTTCATATTCATTACATTATGGTAAAGATTAAAATTAATTTTGTCATTAATATTTACTTTAATTCAAAAAACTATTTGTTAAAATCTATTTTTTCATTAATTTCTAATTTCATTTAAATGTATAGTGTTTTAATCATTCTTTATATGTTTTTCATATTTTAGTAGATTTGTTTTGTATTTTTTTTATTTTTCAACATTTTTTTCTTGATCGTCCAGGACTTGCCCGGTCAGAAAGGTTGAATTGGCGGGTTTATTGATTAAGCCAGTTAAACCACTTCCAGGCCCATATCCGATTAACCACTCTAGTTCAATTTGATTAACACTGCTATGGACAAGGCCTCTGGTAACTAGGAAAACAATTCTTTAGAGCAGATCAACCCCGATTAGCGAGATTTTTCGATACCAACATTTAGGTGCACAGTGACGGCGCCAGAGACCTTAGCATTGAATTCTCACTCGGCGTATAAGTGCATCAAGTTGAGAAACTCTGATCCAGGAAGTTCCCAAATCCACTTCCTTTGTAAGTACTTTGTTACTTAGATATAGATAAAACCCAAGTTGTTCTTTATGTTTGCCGGCTTACTCTTGTTTAACTTCTTTACTTGGAGTCAATTAAAATTAAAGCGTGCACACACAATAAAGTAGACATAACAACTTTGTAGTTTCCATTAGGAAATTTCTTCCCATAGTTTGATATGCTTTAAATTTTCATTTTTGCAGTTTAAATCTTTGTTCATTCGCTGTTACCAACCACCACGAGTCAACAAAAAATCATTTTGGTACGATCGGTTGTCATCCCCATCTTAAGGGCATGCTCCATGCTCAGTTGCTGTAGTTTCCCACTTTGGTGTTTAGGAGCCAAGAGGTAGCCTAGATAATTTTATTTTTAGGGATTTTTGGGCATATGGGATATTATCCTATTTCTAGGGGAAATTTAAATTTTCTCAAAGGCTCCTGATCAAAGTATCTAACCCTTTGCAAATGAGGGCTCATGGGTTTATATGGAAGGTTCAGGAAATATGAGTCGAAAATCATTAGTCAGGGTCATAGGGGGTAGATTATCTAAAGATCGCCTGGGCTCGGGGAAAACTGACGATTTTGAGGGGTGTAAATTAGGGAAGTATCATGCATTTTCCCTTGGACATCTTCTGTCCCATTCATCCATCCAATTCCACCCTGTTTAGTGCAAATTTTTTCGATTTTTTGTACAAATTTCTTCCAAGATTTCATAGATCATCTTACCATGATCATTTTTCAACAAATACGAATAAAAAACTCCAAGACTTGAAGGACTTATGATTAAATTTGTTAACTTGCATCAACACTTGAAGAGCTTCTACGCTTAGCTTAAATTCCTTTGAATTTTAATTTGTTTTTATTTGGCAATCTATAACCACGAAATTGTGAGGAATCATCCTTCAATGTTTGAGAATAAAACTTTAATAAAGAACTCCAAGAATCAAGGAGTTATAATGGCCATTTTTGCAAAATTCAGCCATCTCCATTTTTTGGGCAATTTCTTTCTATGATCTGACCCCTAATTTGGTTTTAAATCCTATAAATCATAAGGATGTTTAGGATGTGAGTGAAATCATATATGCAAAATTTCAGCTCATAACGCTTCATGGTTTGTGAGTTTTAGGTTAAAAAGTGGATCAAGGTCACGGCGACTGCTACACATGAAACCATTTGTAATCCCATATACTTCTTTTGTTCCGATCTACCTATGATCCATGTTAGGAACCCCATCAACATCTATATGAACTAAAACTTTTGTGTTGGAGAACAAAATAATCAAAATTTCAACTCATTGGGTTATTGGACTCAAGATATGATTAAATCCTAAAGGACAAGAAATTCACTATGTTCCTGGAAATTGCTCTTCATTGCTAGTGCATGTCCACAAAATGGTCTTTCCTTCTGAAATTGGTGGTCAGTTGATGGTCTGCCAAAGAGTTATTTGAAAATGGTACTTTTCGATGTCAGATTGGGCTCAAATGTCGAACCTAGCCAAGGATTTCTCAAAGTTCCTTTATAAATTTGGGGTTGATTTGGGGTTGGATCTCTCCCTCTATGATCTTCAACTTTATGCGCTTATACTCGGTCATCCTTTATCGGATTGAACTGATTTTTAAAAGATGCCCTTGGAACTCGTTATTGTAAAATTTAGAACTCTCATATAAACTATCTGGGGGCGGTCTAGGGTCATATGTTCACCCATAAGACCATGCAACTAACTCAGATTTCTTTCATTTACACCTGGAGTTAACTTTGCTCATTAGGGTCTACAAATTCTAAAACGATTATGAGGAGGCTTTCACCTGTCCAGTTTTTGGTGATTTTGGCGATATTCTAACAATTATCATGTCAAGAGTTTATTTGGCCAGTCGACCCTATGCATTGCAATTGCTGGTTCACCATATAGATTTATTATCATATTTCTCCCATTTATCTGGCAAATAGGGTTGAGAATTTACTCGATCTGGATTCGAAACCCAGAATTCGGATCCTTTTCAAATCCGGGTACAGATCCAAGATTTGGATCCGAAATTTAATGGATCTGATCCAGATCCGACCCAGTTTTTAAAAATATATTATATTATACATAA